GACTCTCGGCTGTCACCAGGGAGTCGGGAATCCAGTGCCATCTCTCTTTCAGAGGAAGGAGCTGCTGCTGGAGTGTGGCCCAGTCTCTTGTCATTCTGTAACTGGCCACTCGATGCAGTGATGGCCTGACAAAGCACCAAAACTGCCTCAACCATGAGGTCTCTGTGCCTCTCCAGGCAGTCCTGGAGAACAAACCTCAACACGCCTGGTCATGCAGCACCTAGAACAACAGGACCTTGGGCTTCTGGGGGCTGATAGTGCTCAAGTAACACCCAGCGCCCACAGCTTGGGCTGGACTCCCAAACAGCTCTAGCAGGTCCCAACATGTTATGCTCTTGAAGGTGCCCAAGTAGAACCCAGCTTTAACCCTCTAGAATTGACCTGGTGTAGGTTGGCGCTGTTGGATGTAGCTGGGTGGGAGATGTCACATCCTTCTCGAAGCTCATGCAGTATCCTAGGCAAAGTCTGTATTAAATGTCCCATCTCTGCTTTTTTCCAGGCTTTCTTCGGAGACTGGTGGAATGGGAAGCAGCTAGGACAATGCAAATGCCTCACTCATTACCCCTTCTGCTGTTCATCCCCATGATCCATCTGTGTAGTTTCTAAGCAGTCAGATTCCAGGTTTTAACTAGTTTGTAAATTTCAGTTTCTACACGCTTTACCCATCCACTCATGATTTTTTTTTAATTACAGCATTTTAATTCCTTTCTCTGTTCAGCTGTTAAAATGCTGAGATTCATATCTTAGTTTTATAAGCTTTCCCTTTTTTGGCTCATGAAGTTTTCTGTTTGTCATGAAATGTAAGAGTGGAATATTAATACATTTCAGTTTAGTTCTGTAATGTCAGGAAATTTTTCAAAAAAATAAAAAGATGGACTGGAGCTTTTTTCCTTGTGAATAGAAACTGGATGATTTTTGTTAATTGATTTCCCGTGTCTGACTGTCTTTTGTTGGGCCATTTGACTAAATGATTCATTCCCACGGCAGAGTCCTGTGCTGTCATGTCGGAAGCCAGAAGGAGTTATGCACTCCCACTGACATTCGCTCCTTTCAGCTTACCTGGCAGATCTCTGCCTCAAGGGGTAGGAGGATCGGATCTGATAGCACCAGTCCCAGAGGTAGGAGTGAACCCCACATTCCGTGCTCATTTAATCCATAGCTAGATGGCTGGGGGTGAGACCCAAAGGCAAGGCCCAGCTAAACCAATTGCTAAAGAATCCCATCCAGGGCTAGACCATACACTGCATGCTCACTCCCTTCCCCTTGAGGGCAAGGCTTCCTGACAGGTTTACTCTCCCAAACATTGGTTTTAAATGGTGGGGTGTGGCCTGGGCCCAGCTCCAGTTAGAACAGCCTTGTGCTGTCAGTTTCTGGGAGGGAATCTATCCTTTTGGGGGCTAAGGGCAGAGGCCTTACCACACACCCCTTCACCCCAAGAACAGTGCTAGACTGGCCTGCCCCAGCAAAACACAGGGCTAAAATGCCAAAGCTCTGGGACTTCTGTCTTCAGCCTTACTGAAAAGAGCTTGGTAGCCTCTGATGCCCAGGTTGTTAGCCCCTACTTCAGCTGCCCACTGTGGCACAAGGAGATTTGTGGGCCCGTGGGGTACCATCCTTCCCAGCCCCTGCTGCATCAATAACACACCTGCCAGCACTTTGCATACAAAATGGTCTTTAATTGAAATCGGTGTCATTACTCATCTAGCAGTGGTAGAACCGTACAGACAGACTACATCCAGGAGCTATCTTACACTGATGTATGTCACAGAGGTGTAGAGAACGGGTATCCCAACTGGTCAAGGTATGGCTTTGCCTGAGGGAGTGAGAACTTGCCTTCCACAGGAAGAATGACAAAAGTGGGGTAGGATGGGAGCTCCCCATGGCTCTACTGTCTCCCCTTCTGGGAAATGGGGAGGGGGCTGGGGAAGAGATTTGTGTTAAGAACAGTGGGCTGGAGGGAAGAACTTAGCTCTCTGGAAAGCAGCTGCCAAGGGGGAGTTGTGGAGCAAAGTCTGGGTGAGGGCTGTGTCTGACAACTGCAGGCAAGAGGCTAAAGACTAAAATGTCCGGCTGGTTTCCTGCTCATCAGATCTTCCTCGTGCAGTGTTCCGTGTTCTAATGCACCAGGACTAGCTGGGTGCAGCTTTAAACACCAACTCAAATGGAGCTGAGCTCTCTCAACATCCACTAAGTGGTGTCCCCCACTAGAGCTGCACTGTCTCTCTCCTCCCCCCCC